ATATAAAATCTAATATATATATATATATATTATTCAATCATATAATATATCATAGATTTAAATATATTCGTAATATGATATATTCGATAAATAAGACGGAAATATTAATTTAAATATTCTTAATCTCTTATCTAAGAAGATATAGCGTCTCTTATAAAAATAAAATAAATAGAAATATTATCGATTATTTCTATTAAAAATAGAAGCTCTCATATTTATTAATTTTCTGTATTCCAAATTATTTATATAATTGAATTGAGAAATGCAAAAAATATATTTATGATCCATTATGATCTTATTTTCTCTTGAAAAAAAATTATATCTTGAATTGATCTCTAATTGTCCCATTTGTAGATGGAAAGAAGCCATCGGCATGACCCCCAAATCTACATTTAATATATGTGGTTTCCTCTTCCGCCCCGTTTCATGCGAGATTCTCCGCCTTCTTGTCCGTAGGTTTTGAGGTTGCGAGGTTTCGGGGGTTTGTTGGCGTGAGATTCTCAAATCCCATTGGTGGTGTTCCTAGACCACCTAATTAACTCTCGAATTCGAGGCGAGGTGAGACCGCGACGTAGTTCCCACAGGCTGACTAGTGTAGCTGTAATCTGTAATTTGGCCTGTGCGAAACAAGTGGCAGCCCTTTGCCATTGAGCAGAGGGCATAAGTTGTGACAAGCAGCTCACGTTGAAAGGTGCACGGGTCATGAACCGTGATCTGTCTGTAAAACTGCATTAGCAATCAAACCCCTTCAGCGCACTGCGACATGTGAGACGATCACTAGCAATCACAATCCTCATTTGCGAGGCCTGATCTCGGTTTCGCAATCAAGGACAGACATGCTGCTCGAACTCAAATTGAATCTCGGTCCATGCATGCAGTTTCCGTTGCACTGCTGCTTGATGAATGCTCCTAAACCCCAAACCCCAAAAATATATCATGCACAACAAGACTGCTCCGCAAAGTTGCACTCACAGACTTCCTTACCACTGCCCTTCCCGCCTTTCTCAACATCTTCGATCTCACTGGATGCGCTCCACTTCAATGTCCTCCACTTTCATGATACTAAACTCCAAACCCTAAGCTTCAGGATGTCCTTGACTCTTTTCAAAGAGCAGACTCCATGAAGCACACATGGCCAAGGATCTTGCTGGCAACACTGTGATTTAGGATTTAGGGTTCGCCAGCGCAGCTTCGCGCCCTGGTCAAATCAGCTTTGAAGCAATTTGGAGCTATTTCTTTCTCTATGGGGGGGGGCCCCCAATCCCTGAAGATGTTCGTCGTTGTTTTGGTTCAATGGTCCTGTCTTGCACCACTTGGTTCCAAACCCCCTAATCCCAAAAACCTGGCGATTTCAATCCCAAAAGGCATTGGCGCCCCTAATCCCAAACGTAGCCCCTGCTTTTCCTCGGCCGCAAGCCTTCTAAAATTTAGGGTTTAGGCTGTTCTTTGGGGCTCTGCAAATTGAGCAGTTGCGGACCCCAAAAAACAGCAACCCCTCCGCTTCCGCATCGAAACTGGTGTCAACAGGTCCACAGTCCTGCGTGGACATGAAAGTGATCGTAAATCCTGAGTCTGCAAGGTCGCATCTTATTGTTGAAGGTGCATTGTTAAAAGGGCTTCGGCTCTACTACGGGCGCCCCAACGCCTGAACAGTGCGTGTTGGTATGACGGTATGACTGTTGTACCACCCATAGTCTTCCAACATCTAATCTAACTCCCAACGTTTTTGTTTTAGTGTCATGAGCTCTGTGGAGAGTAAGGTTCCCTAAGCTCAGGCAACGACTCCAAAGTCGTTCTTGGGAGAAGACAAGAGAGGAGGGAATGATGATCAGGCACTGACATACACCGTTGGCAGGTTGCGGTAGTTCGCCTTGCTCTTTGGTGCTACTACACCCTAGACATGGATAAAAACAAAATCTGAAAACAAAAACAACTAAGAATCCCTAACAATCCCACAAAATACCGAAACTCCAAAATTACTAGCTTTCCTTAGACAAGTTTGCCATGACATGTCCACGCTGCGGCCCTGGTGGTTGCTTGACTTGAGGGATGGCACCTGACAGGAGCACCACACGGATTCTGTCTACTGAAGCTTCCTTTCAAGGGCTCGTTTTAGGGGTTTTTATAAGGGCTACTATGAGGGTTACTGTATGGGGTTCCTTTAAGGGCGACTGTGGGGTTGCTATATATCAGGGCTCATTTCAGGGGTTCTATAAGGGCTACTACTAAGGGTTGCTACAAGGCTGTCTACAATAAGGGTGATTATAATAGAGGGTTGCGAAAAATGTTACTATAAGATCTTCTGTTGACAGCAAGCGTTGCTACAAGGGTCACTCTAAGGGCTTCTATCGTAGCACAGTCTTAAGGTGTAGGGTGTAGGGGTTTAGGGTTCGGCCTTGGGGCTTGGTTTAGGGTTGGGATCTGCCACGGCTTCAAGGTTGACTTTCATGTCTCTGTATCAACCTTCCAATATCTCGAGGTTTTGATTTTGACCATGTTTAGGTCTCCCCAACCGGTTCTTTTTGCCTGCCCCAGCCCTCCAAAAATCCGCCAACTAGGCGGATTTTGTGCAGCCCTCTAAAACTTCCAGGCTTGTGTGAGTTTCCCCTGCCAGTCAGAATTCAGGATTTTTGTCATGTTGAACCCGCCCCGAACCAATCCAATCCGCATTGTTGGTCATGTTGGCCTCCACATTGCCGGTTGTTGGCTGTTTTGGCCTCCCCACCAACATGCACCGCTGTTGTGCAAATTTTGGCTCTCCAAATTGCTGCTCCCTGGCCGGGTTCTGTGCAAAACAAATTGCTGGCGCACATCGGCTGTCCCTTCAAGGTGGTTCGAAACAGAGCGCAGCCCCCAAATTTAACGTTTGGTGTTTAGGGTTCAGTTTGAGGCTTCGTGACAAAATGGAAACACAGTACGCATTCCAGGATCAGCTTTGCAACAGAAACTCAGCTTCAGCACGCAACCACATTGCCCATGACGAAATGTCCTGCACTGCTCTTCCCCATGGCCCCTCTCTCTGATCAAACCCTTTGAAAGTATATGACCCCAAACCCTAAAACCCGAGGGTAGAAACAAGAAAGGTAAGGTAAAGTGTCGGGAATCCCAGCACAAATCATCCTTGTCCCATGTTCCAACTTTCTGGAGTTCACTATATATGCTTCCGGGATCGTAAACCCTAAACCCTAAACCGTGCTGGGGTTCCGGCTACAATGAAAGGCTCCTCGGGTCGATCCTGTGGCAGCCGCAGAACTGCGCCGACCTCCGGATTCGGCGGCGAGCACCAAACGCTCGGGTTGAGGGTCTAGAGTGTAGAGTTTAGAGTTTAGGGCTTAGGGTATGGGACCGTTTCGGGTTTAGGGCTTTTAGAGTTTAGGGTTTAGGGTATGGGACCGTTTAGGGTTTAGGGCTGTTAGTAGAGTTTAGGGTTTAGGGTATGGGACCGTTCAGGGTTCAGGGTTTAGGGCATGGGACCGGTTAGGATCTAAGGACCCCTGTCAAGACAAGCACTGCTTCTTTTAGAAACGTTGTAGCGAAACTGCGTGCACGGTGAGCTACATGCTCGTGCGCACCCCAGATGCTAAGACAAAGTCCTCAAAGCTCTCCAGGAACTGTTGCCCCTTAGCTTGCGTTCTGGCTTTCCTGTGCCTGAATCTGGGCAACATGATGCCTGCATGAGCCTGTCTGTCGCAACCGGCTGAGAGCTAATACCACAAAAACCCTAAACCCTTCAAGGAGACAGCGAAGGCTTGTTGGATTCGTTAGGACCCTTGGCCCCTCGCCATGTTTGCACAGTACCTCGATCTTTCGACATCAGGTGACTTTCATTATAGGCCCTGGTACCCCCACTTTACTGAACCAAAATCTGCCTCCCGACGCAGTAAGCGACTGGCTGGCTTGTATTTGGTAGATGCGATGACGACGACGACAAGCAATGGAGTCCGTGGTTGAGGGCTCAGAGTCTGGAGCTTTTGCTTCCATATGTCAGCGTCTGTGCACATTCCACAATTCCCCAACTATGCAAACGGTGGAAGGGAGGAATGCACGAAACGTAGGCACTGCATGGTACATTTGCGAACAGGATACTGCATGTGCTTCAAGACCCCTGCTGGATGGATTCAACTATATTATATTACGGTATATTATATTACTTTCTACTATTATACTATATTGTATAATACTATATATGATAGGATCGTCATCATCGTCAGCTTCAGCGTCAGTCATCCTCATTCGCATCGTCATCACCAGCACAATTCAACCAGCCAGACCGTACCCCACCTCGCTGGCGCTGGAATATTCACGACCAGTATGCCGCAAGCCACTCTGAGCCAGGACCTTGAAAACATAAGTTTCGCGGAGTTCAGGGTGGCTTCGTAGTGGCAGCAAAGGCTGCATGAGCTCAAACTTGTACTTGGAACTCTACCTCTAGTTTCAGGGACGAATGAGAATGAGAAAACTTCAGTATCTCCAAGGCAGGTTTCAGTATCGTCGGTCGTTCCCGGCCGTGTAGCGCTGAAGGGGTCGTAGTTTGGTCGTCCATCATTGCGGTCTATGTCCAGCTCACTATTGCAAAAGATCTTTAACAACTAAGGGAAAACCAGACATGAGAACACCATTGCTGAAGAATGAGATACTTAGCAGCATTATGCTTGTCAGTGTTGATGGCGGCGGTGGTGACGGTGCTGGCGGTGCTGATGGTGTTACTGGTGCTGCTGGTTCCTTCCGCTGGTGCTGCTGGTGCTGGTACTGCTGGTAGTCCTCGTGTGTACGTATATATTTGTGTAACACAAACATCTCTCCCTCTCTGTCTAACAATCATGATGAAAAGCTCTTTGCTGAAACGCGAAGCCTTCTGCGGCCTGATACCTGAACTCTCCGGCTCTCCAGTTGCAGCTGCAGCAGCGTTGTGGTAGCTGGGGTTCTCCGCCAGTAGCCCGTCCTACACGACTCCGCATCTTTGAAATCAAGCCATGTCTATCGTAGATGCGCAACATCAGTCTCATAAAACGTAACACTGAACCCCAAGGCAGAAAGGCACGCAAAAAAATGTAAATCCAAAAGGAAAACCCTGATGTTGAACTGTAGATCCTAATGTTGCCCTATATCGTAAATCTCAATGCTTCAGCCGGACACTCACACAAACACACACAAACTCTCTCTCTCTCTCTTACAACAAAGGCTGCTTCAATAAGATCCGGGTTCAAGCAAACTGGAAGGATGATGGACGAGCTTGATGGCCCTTTCTCCAGTGAGGCAGAAACCTAAACCGCAACGCAGAAGCCCATGACAAGGCTTCGCCGAAGGCTTCGCCGAAGGCTTCGCCCATCCTTGCCCATGCCCTCCAGATTCCGCAGGATGTGAACCGCAGCTGGTCCCGCCTCGCGGAGTGCTTAGTAGTGGGCATCAAGCGAAGGGGGTTCAAGAGGGGTATATAACCCAACGACCCCTTATTCTCCTTAGTTCTCCCGAAAGTTTACTACGGCCCGAAGGTTCCTTAGCGCCCTCCCCGCTTGGACGCCCCTCTTAAGGATCCCACAATAGTAAATGTTCGAGCGCAACGGTGCTTAATTTCATTGAAAGCTGCAGATTTTAGGAATCGGTCTCGAGCACATAACCCTATACCCTGTATCCTAATCCCGAATCTGCCGCACTTTTTCCTGGAGTCTGTGCAGAGTCAAAGGTTGAGGATGCTAGGTTCTGGGTTTTGAGATGCGGTGCATAGGACATACGAACCAAGTTTGAGTATCAGGAGCTGAAACTCCGGGTCTATCGGACGTGAGAACTTAGGGTGAACCTGCTCGGTGGTACGAGTGTCACGTGGCAGCGTTGCACAGGAGGTCTACTCAGAATTTAGCATTGGAAGAACTACCAAGAAGTCTGTTTGTTAGATGCTTGTTGCATTCGATGACCGGAAGCCGATCCCTGCATCCGAAAAGGAGCCTAGCCCAAAGCCTAAAGCCCTGAATCTTGAAACCCTGGACCCTCTACTGCAGTTCACGGACAAGGCCTTTGGACGTCCGTGGGGGGTCATAGCAACCACCTCGGCGTGCTGGCTACTGGACTTGGGGTTCGGGGCTGAGGGTTGAGGGTACTTGCTTTCTTCTTGAGGGCCGACCTGCTGGCAAGAGTTTCAGATTTCTGGTTTGATGGGCAGGAAGACTTCTGCGACATCTCGAATCCAATCTCTATGAGTCGTTACTGGATTATTGGTGTTATTAATTAACTGTTATTGGATTGCAGACGGTCCTGCAGCAGCCAGAAATCGAAAGCCATGCCAAACTGCTTTCTATCGGCGTTGGCGCTACAGCGGGTGAATCTGGGATGCACCCGCTCCCTCTTCGACTGTGGCTCTTCATTGAGGGTCTTCATGACATCTCCGCTTCTTGCGATTGGCTGGGTCAGGATTTGCGATCCTCCGCCAAACTCCACTGCAGATGGGGATCCACCCTGAACTGCATTCTCCCCGCTATCACAGTCATGGGCTCAACTTCTGACAAGGCGCCAGCAGCGGAGGAGGAGTGGCATCGATGGTGCTGAAGTCCACTTCGGACTGGCAGCAGTGGCGTATCTTCAAACTGAGGTTCCACAGCTCTGGGGCAGAGGGGCGGGGCGCAAGGCTTATGCCCGCTTTGAGGCACCGGTCACCTTATGTAGGTCGTTCCCTCAGAGCGCTTTCCGCCTCTCTGATTTCAAGGTACCAATCCTTTCACACAAGAGTCCCCGTGCCTTGGACGCATTCACCTCCGACGCGTCCTGGTGATTTTTTTGAATTGACGCAACTCTTATCTCTTATATCTTGTACCTGAAGAAAAGCTGTCTTCTGTGTTCTATACCTCGCGACGTTTTTTACATATCACTGCTCCGATGCGGGGCAACCGCGCGAAGTCTATGGACTTTCTTTCTCAAACCTCAATCGGTATTGGCGCCTCAATAATTAGAACCTGACCTCTGGTCCTAGCCACAAGAAGCTGCACACGCCCAAAGATAAACATAGATCCCAAAACCCAAGCCAGCGAGCCTCCGACCACTGCGACTTCCGCAGATGCAGAGATGCCTTCAGGGCCCGCTCTCTCGGGGATCGTGTAAAGGTTGCCTTGAGGGGTCTACAAGGAAGGTTTGAAGAGTTCCTAGAAATGGTCTATAGGGGTCCGTTATAGGGCTTCTTGACGGGATCTGTACGGGTCCTTTAAGGGCAGAAGCTCAGAGACCAGACCATACAAGACTGTACCACAATATACTATAATACGCTTTAAAATACTAGAAGCAATACTGTGATGTACTGTAGCACACCATAGCCATAGCGTACTATGATCGGCGATAACACACGATAACTATAACGACTATAAGGGTTGCACCTCAGAACATTGCCCAGATTTGAATACGGGTACTTTCACACGCGATGTAGATGCTATGAGGCTGGCATTGTGAAGAAGACAAAGCGTACGATTGCGTCTGTACTCTCTGCAGCCGACGTTTCTCCAACAGCCCTCTGCCCTTTGTGGTATCTTACTCCTTCTCCCCAAAACCCGGACGCTTCTCTTCTCAACTGATGATTGGCAAAACGAGTCAAGCTTTGCGGGCTAGATCTGAATTTCTACAGCAATTGTGCCATAAATAGCGGCTAAACAGAAGACAAATCTTCAGCGCGGTTTTGATGTGACCTTTCCATACCAGTAACGACAAACCCAACACTACACCCAAAACCCTACCGCTCAGCCGGCTGTCAGCACAAAAAGTTGATGCCTTCCTTCGACAGAGCCATCCTATGTAGCCCTGGCCAAACCTGAAGAACTAGAAACCTGCTCGTAACGGCCAAGTAGCAAGAGACAGCTAGCATCATTGACAAAATGACAATACTGTCGATGACGTACACAATACCACTGGCCATCAGTAGTCTGATCATGTTTAACCCCCTTGGATCTGATCTGGGCCTAAGGCCTAAAGCCAAAGCCCTGAGCCAAAGGCTCTGGGTCCTGAAGGTGCATGCCGCAAACCCTAAACTATAAAGCCGTGATCAGCAAACCTTTTGAACCACAAATCCTACTACAAGTTGGGACCTCACCTGAAAGGCCACGAATTCCTCCCAGGTGATCTCACGGTCAGAGTCACTGTCCATGGCCTGCGCTGTTTCTTGTATGGACCAGAAGAATTCAGGAGATCAGGATATTGAGATGTAGTGTGTCAATAGGAATGAAGCTCGCTCTACTCACCATCAATACTTCCGTTGTATTTGCACTCTTATTGCTGCTCCTCTGGTGACTCGTGCTTTCACTGCGATTAGTACAGATATGCCTGTTTAGCAAAGAAGAGACAGACGCCTGAAAGCCTCGGGCTGGTAAACAACGGGACACGTGGACCCCGGAACATAGTACCCTAAACACTAAACCCTGGACCCCAGACCCTGAACCCTAAACCCCTAAACCCCCAAAAGCCACAAAGCCCTAAACTTAGTACCTAAACACTGCACTCCTGGGAAACCGCATTGCGCTTGGAGCTGGCCCCGAAACCCAAACCTTGGCTACTGCCCCCACTCGGTAACAACCTATATTAAGGGTCATGTTAAGGGCTATATATAAATATTCATCCTAACTGTTACAGAGCGGGGGTACGCAACCCAAACCCTCCATCTGACAGTAAAGACCCTTCAGAACGGGCACGCACTAAGCCGCCTGCATTATAAGCGAGTACTGTAATCATCTGCTATAAGCAGATGCTTTAATCATATACTGTAGGCGGATGCTATAACCATATGGTTTCAGCGGATACGATTGCCAATTTTCCGACGCCTGTATTAGACCCCTTTCCCCAAATGCTGCGGGCCTGGAAGAGTGCCTCCATCTGGTCCCGGGAGCCATCCTCCTTGTCTTGGGCTTAGGGTTGAGGGTTCAGGGTGTAGGGCCGTGTAGGGTGTGACTACAGATTTGGTGCTCGGACTCTGCACTCCCAAAAACCCATGACCTGCATTCACCACGTGGCTTTGGGGGCGGAGACCAAAAAGCGAAGCTTATGTAGAGTAGCAAATTGAGGTCTTGAAACGCTTCCGACTGGACCCTTCAGTGCCTGCGGCACGAAGCCTCGTTCGTCAGCATCACCAACATGATTAACATCATTCGTTTTTTGGAGGTTGGCATTACCAGACAATCGCAAAAACAGTAACCCCATGACGTATGATCATGGTGGCTCCTGGCGGATTTCGGAGGGGAGGCCAAAGAATTCGGCCATCTTCGCATCGCGGCGCAGCCCTTTGACGAGCTCACGCTTATTGACCTGGGGCGGAGTGGTGTGCCATCTTTGCTGGCATATGGCTCTGAGGATAAAGGTCATGATTGATCAGTGGCATCATCAGCCTGAGCTCGGAGCCACATTGTCATAGTCGCAAAAGGTTTCGCGGGCGGTGCTGCGGGTGAGGATGCTGCAGCTGACGGTGATGAAGATAATTTGAGGATGATAATGCTGATGATGGTGGTAGTGATGATGATGGCGATGATGGTGATGATGGCGATGATGGCGATTATGCTGGCGGTGACTGTGCCCAAATACAGAAATGCGATCTCCACCGAAACCTGCCATCATCGTGACTCCATCACATATGCTTGGAATAAGCCTAGAGTCACAATTAAAATAATGATATCATCACGACAAAGCTTTCAGATGTTTAACTCGGCACAGCAGAAAGTGCCAAGGCCATCATGATTGCTACAGCTGTGTCCTTAAATGTTTCACTCCTGCTGTGGCAAGAAACTTAGTACTATAGTCGTGCAGACCCTGATTAATAAACCTACCTACCTTCAAAGAGAATACAACTAAGATCCTTTCTAACCCGGTTAAATGCCTATCAGAGTCCCAATGAAGGGGAAGGGGATGATTCATCCGGGGTCGACATGATCACTATGCCTGCCAATAGATCCGGATGTTGGGGCTAGGGCTCAGTGTTTAGACTTCTGTACCATATGCTTGTACTTCGCCTTGTCGTCTGTTGATGAGGGAGTTCGTGCGACTGTTGGGAGGCCTAGAACCTACCGGCGCTGATGCGAAACGGATTGAGGCAGCGCAAGCGATGCATCCATCCATGCCACTGCAAGGCAAGCTGCCATACCATTTCCTTGCACGTCGGCACTGTCGAAGATCATTCCTTAAGCAGTCAGCTGCTGGCGAAGCACTGACAGGTTAAGGTTTAGGGTTGTGCTAAACATACTAACCCTCCATTGCATAGATTTAAAACCATTACATTTACGGAGATGTTAAGATGTGGATGCCGTTGGGATCGCGTCATCCGATCAGAGCCCTAATCTCGGGCTGGGCTGGACGATTTAAAAAAGCAAGCGGAAGCGGGTGCATAGACCATGCAGCAACCCCAGACGCTTCTCGGCTTCTGCAACACAACCAACATACTGAAATCCGGAGCTCTGCTCTGAACCCAAGGCTCGGAGCTTCTTTAGGTCCATCTTCTCTGCACTCGCGGGCGTTGTGGGCGCGGTGTTTGGGCGGGGAGCCGGCACCAGAGGTCCCAGGGATTCAGGTCGGCTGAGCCTCGACTCCGAAGGCTTTCGGATTAGTCGTAAGAGACGAGAAATGGAGTAGTATTGGGGCAGCCTTGCTGATTGCACTTGTGCGATCTCCTGTAATGTTCTTGCGGCTGTTGCGTGAGTTTGAGGTTAGCATGGCCAATCGTGTCGGCTGGTGATGTTAGTAGTATCTACATGCTGCCGCTGCTGCTAAACCCACTGCTACTGCGCAACTACTACTACTACTACTACTACTACTACTACTACTACTACTACTACTTGTTACTACGACGACGACGACGACGACGACGACGACGACGACTGCTACTACTACTACTACTACTACTACTACTACTACTACCACTACCACTACTACTTCTACTACCACTACTA